GTTTGTTCAAATGAATGACCTTGACTTATATTCAAGGTCACATAGGTCTGGCCGAATATCATCACCCTGGTCCTTTAGGTTAATCAGAAGAAGTTGCTAAAAGGTTTTTTTCCAGACAGTTGACCCCTGTCAACTTGAATATGGGTGAGAGTCAATCATTTGAACAAAGTTGGTAGCCCTTTGTCTCAGTATGCATCTGGCCAAATATCATCACCCTGAACGTTTTGGTTATTCAGGAGAAGTTGTTAAAAGATTTCATTTTATTTGACCCCTGTGACCTTGAATATGGGCAAAGGTCGTTCATCCCAGCATGATATGGTACTGGCCAACCTTTTCATCCTTGAAGTTTTGGTTATTCAGAAGAATTTGTTTAAAGTCAAAGGTTGATGCCAGATGACACGGCATAAGCTCACTAGGCACTAAGGGCCAGGTGAGCTTAACAAGAGGCCCAATGGCCCTGAATCGCTCACCTGGTATTAATCTCACACAAGTAGTTATCTTAAAAGTGGACTAATGTACAGCTACAGGCCAAATTTCTGTGTTCGATTCATTAGAATTTATTTTACGATTTAAACATATGACACCTGTGACCTTGAAAGTCGAAAACAAGGACATTAAGTTGAACAGAGTTATAGCCTTTCGTCCCAGCATGCTTCTGGCCAAATACCATTGCCTTGGACCTTTTGAATATTCAGAACAAGTCATTTAAAGATTTAAACATATTTGATCTCTGTGACCTTGAATATGAGTGAAGGTCATTCATTTGAACAAACTTGGTAGCCCTTCATCCCAGCATCTAACTGGCAAAATATCATAACCATAGGCCTCTTGGTAATTCAGAAGAAGTAGTTTAAAGGTTTTAAACATATTTGACCCCTGTCACTTTGAAGATGGGTGAAGGTCATTCGTCTTAACAAACTTGGTAGTCCTTCATCCCAGCATGTAACTGGCCAAATATCATTATCCAAGGCCTTTTGGTTATTGAAAAGAAGTTGTTTAAAGGTTTTAAACATTTTTGACCCCTGTTACTTTGAAAGTGGGTCAAAGTCATTCATTTAAGCCAACTTGGTGTGGGTCAAAGTCATTCATTTAAGCCAACTTTGAAAGTGGGTCAAAGTCATTCATTTAAGCCAACTTCATCCCAGCATGCTACAGGCCCAATATCAGTACCCTGGGCGTTTTAGTTATTGAGAAGAAGTCCTTTGAAGATTTTAACATATTTGACCCCTGTGACCTTTAAAGTGGTTCAAGGTCATTTATTGGTAGCCCTTGATTCCAGCATGCTACTGGCCAAATATCCTCATCCTAGGCCTTTTGGTTACTGAAAAGACGATGTTTAAAGTAACAAGAGGCCCATGGGCCTCAACGGTCACCTGATATATTTATACAGAGAATTGATTTTGTTTTTAACATGAACAGAAATATTATTCAAAGTGACAAAAAACAATAAAACCACCTTACTCAATATCTAGCATACAGATTTCAGACTAAAAAGGATTTGAAACTAGCACCTCTGATTCTTAACAAGGAAAATGAAGAAATTTTAGCACACTGACTCCTTTGAGCCCCACCCTACAGCCCTTGGGGGTAGGGCTGGCTCAAAATTTTCAAAGTATCAAACTGTCAATTCAAGGTTATAATTCCATTCAAGTTATTAACATGTAATATTCAAAGTATCATTTGCCATTATAAACCATAATAAATTTTGCCCCCCCCCCCTCCTTCCCCAGGGGGTAAACGTGAGACCTAGGGTCATAAACCTTAAGACCCTTCCATCCATGAAGAGTATTTGATTCTACCATATCTGGGTCTTGAGAAGAAGATTTTTGAAATTTTAGTCAATTCAACCCTTTTTGGCCCCGCCCCTCAGGCCCCTGGGGGATTGGGACTAAACCGGCCTCTATTTTATTTGACCTTTGTCCATGGAAGGTCCCTGCAAAATTTCACTGAAATTGGTTCAGGGGTTTTGGAGAAGAAGATTTTTGAAATTTTAGTCAATTTGCCCCTTTTTGGCCCCGCCCCTCAGGCCCCTGGGGGGTTGGGACTAAACCGGCCTCTATTTTATTTGACCTTTGTCCATGGAAGGTCCCTGCAAAATTTCACTGAAACTGGTTCAGGGGTTTTGGAGAAGAAGATTTTTGAAATTTTAGTCAATTTGACCCTTTTTGGCCCCGCCCCTGGGGGCTTAGGGCTAAACTGGCAACTGTTTTTGTTGACCTTTGTCCATGGAAGGTCCCTGCGAAATTTCATTGAAATTGGTTCAGGGGTTTTGGAGAAGAAGATTTTTGAAATTTTAGTCAATTTGACCCTTTTTGGCCCCGCCCCCAGGGGCGCCCCTCAGGCCCCTGGGGGCTTAGGACTAAACCGGCAGCAATTTTTGTTGACCTTTGTCCATGGAAGGTCCCTGCAAAATTTCATTGAAATTGGTTCAGGGGTTTTGAAGAAGTCGAAAATGTAAATTGTTTACGGACGCACGACGGACGACGACGGACAAAAGGCGATCGCAATAGGTCACTTGAGACTTTGTCTCAGGTGACCTAAAAAGTTGACGCCGGTCAGACAGACCATAAACCTGTTTTTTGTTGAGTGACAGATCTCATTTCAGTACGTGATACTATGCCTTGAGGAGATATAGAAGTATATAGCAAGTCTGGTGGATGTAAATGAAATAGCATGAAGGTATAATGGTCTGCAAAAAACTTATTGTCACCCAGCCAGACAACACATAATACCATGTAAGATTGTCATATAAAAATAGAGAATCGAATTTGGAACCCAGCAACATTTTGTTCAGTAATTCTTTGAGAAGCAAAATGACATGATTTAAGGTCTGTCCATGTAAATAGATTAATTGTTAAATGCTGTACAAACCAGTATTCCTCATATATTGATAGCAGTGATAATATATGGCTGATGAATATATAGCAAGGAAATTCATTTTAAAAAATGTAAACTATTTCATTGCATGAAATGTCGTTTTTAGTTCATGTTGTACAATACTAGAACCAATATTTTGTCTGCATTGTTACCGCATTTTCACCATTCATGAAAATGTATTATGTGGTAACAGGCTAACATTACAATCACACACATTCTTACCCGTTACAAAACCTCTTGGAGGAATATACCGAACATTTTACACCAAAACTTAAACCTTTTTCTCACAAAATTGATCTCTGAGATCCGAGAAAATAATTAACACTGTAAGCCAATTTCGGGTCTACATTTTCTACATATTGGCATATAACAGAAATTAAAAACATCTCAAAAAAACACCTTCCTGTAACATATTCTCTCTATCTTTACAGACACACCGTAGCATATGACCTTTCTTAAATCATTATCTGATCTTTCACTCTGTTGACCTGAAGCAAACATTACATATCATTCAATAACAAAAAGCAAGCAGTCTTTGTCTACCAATTCAAATTTTCTTATAGCAAAAATGTATTCTCTATTTTATTTTTAAACTAAAATGGGAGTTTTTCCCTGTAAACAAAATAATCAAAATAATATTGTTCTTGATCAATAAACAGGAAGTTTTATTTTATTAATTCCTGAATTAATTACATAATAACTTTTTCACACATGGAAAATAAAAGTTTTAGTTGGAAAATAATAACTTTGATATCTTCTAACATATTGTTCAAATTCACATTTTCTGCTTTCAATTTTCATTTTCATCATAAAAGTAAGAAGTTACTTAATGTGACATAAATTATGTCACAGTCTAATGGTGGTGTCTTGTCTTGACATGTGCGCATTTTGAAATAGAGTTTCTTCTTTCTTGATGAACACCCTACTTTACATGAAATATCACTAGCATCAAAACAAGAGGTTCAGAAAACCTGCATCACTAACCTAGATATTTAAGAGTCATGGGGAAATATAAAAGTAATATAATTGCAAATAAGAACCCAGGGATAGGGACAGACAATGGGCCAATCCTTGTATCCAAATTTTCATTCTCAGTAGTTGTACAGTTGTGGGATCGCTTAACGTTACAGGATGTGTAGTGTGCTCACAAAGTGTGCCAGTGTCAGTGCCGGTGGGAACATAGAAAACTGGGCAGGTCAAGGTTTCACACATTGTGTGGGCGTTGATATAAATATTGGAATGACATACAATAACAAGAGGCCCAATTGGCCTACATCGCTCACCTGGTATTATCTCACATATGTAACCTTAAAAGTGGAATAAAATAAAGCTGCAGGCAAAATATAAGTGTCTTGACTTCAAACCTGTTAAACAATTAAAACTCATTTGACCCACGTGACCTTGAAAGTCAAACATGGACATTAAGTTGAACAAACTTCATAGCCATTCTTCCCAGAATGCAACTTGCCAAATAACACAACCTTATATCTTTTGTTTAGTGAGAAGAGGACTTTTAAAGATTTATGCACTATGAAAGTGTGTCAAGGTCATTCACATCAACAAGCAATCACCCTGTATGTTTTAGTTATTCAGAAGAAGTCGTTGAAAGATTTCAACATATTGGACCCATGTGACCATGAATATGGGCAAAGGTCATTCCTTCAAACAAACTTTGTAGCCCTTCATGCCAGCATCCTTTTGGACAAATATCATCACCCTGGACCTTTTTGGTCATACAAAAGAAGTCGTTAAAAGGTTTTTAAGGCAATTGATCCCTGTGACCTTGAATATGAGTGAAGGTCATTTGTTTGAACAACCTTGGGAGCCTTTCATGCCAACATCCTTCTGGCCAAATTTCATCACCCTGGACCTTTTGGTTATACAGAAGGTTTTTTTAAAAGGTTTTCAAGACAATTGACCCCTGTGACCTTTAATATGGATGAAGGTCATTCATTTAAACAAACTTGGTAGCCCTTCATGCCAACATCTTTCTGGCCAAACATTATCACTCTGGACCTTTTGGCTATACAGAAGAAGTCGTTTAAATATTTCAACACATTTGACCCATGTGACCTTGAAAATGGGCAAAGGTCATTCATTTGAACAGACTTGGTAGCCCTTCATCCCAGCATGCTACTGGCCAAATATCGTAATACTGGGCCTCTTGGTTATTCAAAAGAAGTTGTTTAAAGTAAAAGATTAACGCCGGGCGGAAGACAGACGATAGACGCAGCACCATGCCATAAGCTCACCTGGCCCGTTGGACCAGGTGAGCTAAAAACTGTTTCTTTTTTGAGCTGTTACATACTTGATTTTAAGGTATGCTACCATATTTTAGTTAGATCAATAGGTTTATCTATATATGGGTAAATACATGTACATATATCTAATTTAAAAATGGTGATTCAGTTTTTTCTCAATAAACAATCTAAATTGACACGTGTACAACACATTTTGGATATGATTATGTGCATTAAGGAGGCAAAGTAGTCTAGTGGTAGGACGCCGGGCTTGATACCAAAGGGTTGCGGGTTCGAGTCACGTCACAGCGCTACATTGTATCTTTGAACAAGATACCTTACGCCTCTTGTTCCAGTCTACTCGGCGTAAATGATTTGGGATATCCTTAAATTGTTGGATATAGACAGGACTTTCTACAAGTTTTTATGAAGAAGGAAACATTTCAGTATTGCTTAGAGCCCAAGTTCTCTGCATAATACTACTTTTATAGTGTTTATGACATTACATAATTAATGCCATAGGCAATAACACAACCCACCCTCAATCCCTTTCTTACTTTTCATTCAAAAAAAGCATTATACATTCATTCAGTCATAATTTCTCTGACAGCAAAATTTCATCTTCAAAATCCATTTACGGTATTCTCTTCACTATTGAAATATGTCATGACAAGATTGAAAGGTTAGCAATATGATTGGTTTTAGACATCAAAAACTGACCAATTGCTGTGCTGATACCTATCAAGTGAAACTATGGGATTTTGAAGACTAAATTCTGGCCACATAATGAAAACTAGTGCTTCAGGTTAGAGTTTGACACCATAGGTCAGAGTTCACACTTTCAAAAAAGGTATTGATCACTTCCATTTAATTTAGATTAAGAATATTTATTGTTAGTCTGAGTTTGACTTTGTCTGTAAGTCACCTCTGTATGAGTGGCCCGGTCACAGACTTAGACCCTTGTGATCATGGTCTGAAATACCTTTACATTTGTACTCAAAAGTCAGCCTTTTCTACTGGCGAGGCTATTGCTTCTATGGATAATCTTTGAAAGATTATTGCTTCCTGGATGCAACCTCTTTGATCTTGTAAAAGGTAACAGGTCACCACTTCCAATTTGGTGGTCTGTCACTGACTCTGGAGCTGAAAATGGTGAGTTCCTCAAGATGTTTTGTAGGAATGTTGTTCATCAAACTTGGTGTGTCTGTGTCAAACAGAGGCCAGATGGACACCCTCAGGGCAGGACGCACTGAACCAAACCTGTCAATTCACATACCATATCTTCTGTAGAAATGTACAACTAGTGTATTTCTATTTAACACCCCCTCCCATTTAACAATGACTTCACACACAATAAGTTTGCATTAGAATCAGACATTGTGCCCAACAAGGAATGCGTGGGTGAGTGGAATTGTGAATTTGAAATTACCATTCAGTAAAATAAGCCATGTTTCAAGTATATAAACTAGCGGAAAAAAGAAACGGTGCATGCCTAAAATGTGTTATAAAATAAATGTGTATGACGTAGAACAACAAGGTTTTCAGGGACAATTTATTTGTTATTTATTGACAGTTGCATTTCATTTTCCACCTTATGAAATCAATAAGTTCCGCTCAGGAGTAACATAAACACAGCAGGGGTCAATACTGAGTTCACAAAGTTAATACCTCGTATGTCCACGCGTTCAATGGGCGACAGATCGGGGGATACAGCAGGCCAGGGCAACACATCAACGTTCTGCTGGACCAGAAAGTCCATAGTGACACGAGCTGTGTGTGGCCTGGCGTTGTCCTGCTGTAGCGTAATGCGACGTTGCTGCCCTTGCACGAGTGGAAAGAAACATTCTCCAACGCGAGGATACACTCTGGAACGGCCGTCACTATTATCCAGGTGGACTCGCGACTCGTCTGTAAACAAAATGCCTGCCCAATCCCGTCGAGTAAATCACAGATGCCTCCTGCACCAGTCCAGACGTGTTACACGATGATGTGGCAGAAGAACTGGGTGGATTGCAGGACGTCACGGACGGAAAGCTCGTTCACGCAATTGGTTCTGTACAGTTCTCGGGCTTATTGGTAGCAACCCAGGATTGTCCGTGCAGTCAAACATGCTGCTTGAAGCATACCAATAATCCGGAGGTGGTCATTTTCATTGAGCCTTGGCATAGCATTAATCACAAATTATTATGTTATAATGCTGTTTTTACTGTTCACTGGTCTCAACAGAGTGACCCAACAGTTGAAAAATAAACTTTCATTGTCGAATTGGATGGCTGGACGAGAAAAACGTGCAAACTGGTCAACGCCTATAGAGAACAAACTGCACGGGAAAAACTGTCAACGACACACGGATAGTGTGTATGTGTCATACTCGGTCATGTGTGTGAATTTTCATGTATATACAGTTGGTAATACATGTTCTATAACAATTCTCTGCATGCACAGTTTCCTTTTTCCGCTAGTATATTATACATTTTCTGCTTTTCTTGCATGACTTTTGATCTTGGTATATGTACCCGAGAAACATCATAATTTTAGAGGAGCAAAGTGAAGTAGAATCTACCTGTCTTCTACAGCTTTCTGGAGTCGCCGACATTGTGTCCTATTGGCATCAGTGAACAGCTGCAGAGCGACAAGGGAGGGGCACTGACAAGATAAACAATACCATCAGGATATTCACATTATAAGGCACAAAAAAAAACATTCTGGAAAAACCCATTGGAAATAAAGAGACCAGGAGATATCAATTAGCACTATGAGGATACATACATTTAACTAACAGTAAATATCTACATCCAATAAATCACTCATCTTCCAGAAAAACAAGAGATCTCATGGGCCTGTAGTGTTCATCTGACTGAAAGTTTGCTTAATGTATCCACCATCATAGATACTAAGTTTGTTTTGAACTCAGACAATAATTGAAAACCTATTTTGAAGTTTTTGATAACTTTTGTGCCGAGTCAATAAAGCTAGATGTCAGAAAATTAAAAGACATTTAGTCCAAATAGTAATCTAACACTGGAGGCAGGCAGAGGAATGAGTATTTACCCATACCTAATCAGTGGATGTTAGAATAGCACAGTGTGGCTTGGCGAGTCTTTTCAGCAATTACCAAGAATCAAGACACCGGTCATTTGCACTCAATGCTTGACAAAGAAAACAGAAGGTTTTGAAAGCTCGCAAAATTAGTCTTCAATTACTGTTTGTGTTCAAAATAAACTTAGCATTTATTATTCATACCAGTGTGATTAACCTGATTCTGAACATCCACCATCATTTACTTAATAATTAAAACAGAAACATAAATATGTCCTGGATTCAAAAAGATCACATTCAAATTAGATACCCAAAAACCCATTAGCTTATACATATTTTTTTCAAAAGCAGTGAATTTGAAAATTCGACTTCACCTATCATTAATTATAAAACAATTTAATACAATGGGATTCTGCAGGGAAATATATACAAGAGACCCATGGGCCTTAACGGTCACCTGAGTCCTACAGTATTTATTTTTGTTGTTGAAATATGTACCAATTTGAGTAAAAAATTGTTAAGTATAACGTTAACTTAAGTTTGTCAGGACCATGAGCTGATCTTTCCTAGACTGATTTTCAGTTAGATCGGCCTATTAGAACTTGTTTTTAAGTTTGAAATAGGTATTTTCAAAATAGCGGCCATGGCAGCCAAATTGTATTTCTGATAGACCAGCAAAATAACATAACAACACTTTGGCAGGACCATGAGTCAATCATTCCTACAAAGTTTAGGTTCAATCGGCCTAGCAGAAATTTACTTTAACTTTGAAATAGTTTTTCAAAATGGCGGCCATAACAAAGTGTTGTTATGTTATTTTGCGGGTCTATCAGAAATTCAATATGGCGGCCATATTGGATTTCTGATCGACCCGAAAAATGATCATTCCTACCAAAGTTTCAGTTCAATCGGCCCAGCAGAACTTGACTTTGAGTTTGAAATAGTTTTTCAAAATGGAGGTCGTGGCGGCCATATTGGATTTCTGATCGACCCGAAATATAACAACACTTGGTCAGGGAGATGTCAGTAACCTTCCCGTGAAATATTTATGAAATCCCTTTGCCAGTATTTCAGCTAAAGTTGAAAATGTAAAATGTTAACGGACGATGCACGACGCAGGACGAAGACGGATAGCAATAGGTCACTTGAGCTAAAGCTCAGGTGACCTAAAAATGGTCATTCTTATGATGAGAAGAATGATATTGTTTTCAAGAAAAATGCTGCCCACAGATATCAGCATACTTACATTGGCAATGAGGGATATAACAGAGGCAGAGTCGATTGTTCCTCCCCAGGACATAACACACACACGCTGTAGTGTCTTACAGGACTGGGCTGCCTTACAGAAGTGGGAGTCCACAGACTGGTAACCATGCTCTACCCTGTAACAATCCCACAAATAATCAGACTGGTAACCATGCTCTACCATGTAACAATCACACACATAATCAAACTGGTAACCATGCTCTACCCTGTAACAATCACACACATAATCACACTATAACTATGTTCTACCCTGTAACAATCACACACATTAACACACTGGTAACCATGCTCTACCCTGTAACAATCACACACATAATCAGACTGGTAACCATGCTCTACCCTGTAACAATCCCACACATAATCACACTGGTAACTATGTTCTACCCTGTAACAATCCCACACATAATCACACTGGTAACCATGCTCTCCCCTGTAACAATCACACACATAATCACACTGTTAACCATGCTATACCCTGTAACAATCACACACATAATCACACTATAACTATGTTCTACCCTGTAACAATCACACACATTAACACACTGGTAACCATGCTCTACCCTGTAACAATCGCACTGGTAACCATGCTCTACCCTGTAACAATCGCACTGGTAACCATGCTCTACCCTGTAACAATCCCCCACATAATCAGACTGGTAACCATGCTCTACCGGTAACAATCACACACATAATCACACTGGTAACTATGTTCTACCCTGTAACAATCACACACATTAACACACTGGTAACCATGCTCTACCCTGTAACAATTCCACACATAATCAGACTGGTAACCATGCTCTACCCTGTAACAATCGCACTGGTAACCATGCTCTACCCTGTAACAATCACACTGGTAACCATGCTCTCCCCTGTAACAATCACACTGGTAACCATGCTCTCCCCTGTAACAATCACACTGGTAACCATGCTCTACCCTGTATAAAAATCACACACATAATCACACTGGGAACCATGCTCTACCCTGTAACAATCACACTGGTAACCATGCTCTACCCTGTAACAATCACACACATAATCACACTGGTAACCATGCTCTACCCTGTATAAAAATCACACACATAATCACACTGGTAACCATGCTCTACCCTGTAACAATCACACACATAATCACACTGGTAACCATGCTCTACCCTGTAACAATCACACACATAATCACACTGGTAACCATGCTCTACCCTGTAACAATCACACACATAATCACACTGGTAACCATGCTCTACCCTGTAACAATCACACACATAATCACACTGGTAACCATGCTCTACCCTGTAACAATCACACACATAATCACACTGGTAACCATGCTCTACCCTGTAACAATCACACACATAATCACACTGGTAACCATGCTCTACCCTGTAACAATCACACACATAATCACACTGGTAACCATGCTCTACCCTGTAACAATCACACACATAATCACACTGGTAACCATGCTCTACCCTGTAACAATCACACACATAATCACACTGGTAACCATGCTCTACCCTGTAACAATCACACACATAATCACACTGGTAACCATGCTCTACCCTGTAACAATCACACACATAATCACACTGGTAACCATGCTCTACCCTGTAACAATCACACACATAATCACACTGGTAACCATGCTCTACCCTGTAACAATCACACACATAATCACACTGGTAACCATGCTCTACCCTGTAACAATCACACACATAATCACACTGGTAACCATGCTCTACCCTGTAACAATCACACACATAATCACACTGGTAACCATGCTCTACCCTGTAACAATCACACACATAATCACACTGGTAACCATGCTCTACCCTGTAACAATCACACACATAATCACACTGGTAACCATGCTCTACCCTGTAACAATCACACACATAATCACACTGGTAACCATGCTCTACCCTGTAACAATCACACACATAATCACACTGGTAACCATGCTCTACCCTGTAACAATCACACACATAATCACACTGGTAACCATGCTCTACCCTGTAACAATCACACACATAATCACACTGGTAACCATGCTCTACCCTGTAACAATCACACACATAATCACACTGGTAACCATGCTCTACCCTGTAACAATCACACACATAATCACACTGGTAACCATGCTCTACCCTGTAACAATCACACACATAATCACACTGGTAACCATGCTCTACCCTGTAACAATCACACACATAATCACACTGGTAACCATGCTCTACCCTGTAACAATCACACACATAATCACACTGGTAACCATGCTCTACCCTGTAACAATCACACACATAATCACACTGGTAACCATGCTCTACCCTGTAACAATCACACACATAATCACACTGGTAACCATGCTCTACCCTGTAACAATCACACACATAATCACACTGGTAACCATGCTCTACCCTGTAACAATCACACACATAATCACACTGGTAACCATGCTCTACCCTGTAACAATCACACACATAATCACACTGGTAACCATGCTCTACCCTGTAACAATCACACACATAATCACACTGGTAACCATGCTCTACCCTGTAACAATCACACACATAATCACACTGGTAACCATGCTCTACCCTGTAACAATCACACACATAATCACACTGGTAACCATGCTCTACCCTGTAACAATCACACACATAATCACACTGGTAACCATGCTCTACCCTGTAACAATCACACACATAATCACACTGGTAACCATGCTCTACCCTGTAACAATCACACACATAATCACACTGGTAACCATGCTCTACCCTGTAACAATCACACACATAATCACACTGGTAACCATGCTCTACCCTGTAACAATCACACACATAATCACACTGGTAACCATGCTCTACCCTGTAACAATCACACACATAATCACACTGGTAACCATGCTCTACCCTGTAACAATCACACACATAATCACACTGGTAACCATGCTCTACCCTGTAACAATCACACACATAATCACACTGGTAACCATGCTCTACCCTGTAACAATCACACACATAATCACACTGGTAACCATGCTCTACCCTGTAACAATCACACACATAATCACACTGGTAACCATGCTCTACCCTGTAACAATCACACACATAATCACACTGGTAACCATGCTCTACCCTGTAACAATCACACACATAATCACACTGGTAACCATGCTCTACCCTGTAACAATCACACACATAATCACACTGGTAACCATGCTCTACCCTGTAACAATCACACACATAATCACACTGGTAACCATGCTCTACCCTGTAACAATCACACACATAATCACACTGGTAACCATGCTCTACCCTGTAACAATCACACACATAATCACACTGGTAACCATGCTCTACCCTGTAACAATCACACACATAATCACACTGGTAACCATGCTCTACCCTGTAACAATCACACACATAATCACACTGGTAACCATGCTCTACCCTGTAACAATCACACACATAATCACACTGGTAACCATGCTCTACCCTGTAACAATCACACACATAATCACACTGGTAACCATGCTCTACCCTGTAACAATCACACACATAATCACACTGGTAACCATGCTCTACCCTGTAACAATCACACACATAATCACACTGGTAACCATGCTCTACCCTGTAACAATCACACACATAATCACACTGGTAACCATGCTCTACCCTGTAACAATCACACACATAATCACACTGGTAACCATGCTCTACCCTGTAACAATCACACACATAATCACACTGGTAACCATGCTCTACCCTGTAACAATCACACACATAATCACACTGGTAACCATGCTCTACCCTGTAACAATCACACACATAATCACACTGGTAACCATGCTCTACCCTGTAACAATCACACACATAATCACACTGGTAACCATGCTCTACCCTGTAACAATCACACACATAATCACACTGGTAACCATGCTCTACCCTGTAACAATCACACACATAATCACACTGGTAACCATGCTCTACCCTGTAACAATCACACACATAATCACACTGGTAACCATGCTCTACCCTGTAACAATCACACACATAATCACACTGGTAACCATGCTCTACCCTGTAACAATCACACACATAATCACACTGGTAACCATGCTCTACCCTGTAACAATCACACACATAATCACACTGGTAACCATGCTCTACCCTGTAACAATCACACACATAATCACACTGGTAACCATGCTCTACCCTGTAACAATCACACACATAATCACACTGGTAACCATGCTCTACCCTGTAACAATCACACACATAATCACACTGGTAACCATGCTCTACCCTGTAACAATCACACACATAATCACACTGGTAACCATGCTCTACCCTGTAACAATCACACACATAATCACACTGGTAACCATGCTCTACCCTGTAACAATCACACACATAATCACACTGGTAACCATGCTCTACCCTGTAACAATCACACACATAATCACACTGGTAACCATGCTCTACCCTGTAACAATCACACACATAATCACACTGGTAACCATGCTCTACCCTGTAACAATCACACACATAATCACACTGGTAACCATGCTCTACCCTGTAACAATCACACACATAATCATACTGGTAACCATGCTCTACCCTGTAACAATCACACACATAATCTCACTGGTAACCATGCTCTACCCTGTAACAATCACACACATAATCAGACCGGTAACTATATGCTATACCCTGTAACAATCACACACATAATCATACTGATAACCATGCTCTACCCTGTAACAATCACACACATAATCTCACTGGTAACCATGCTCTACCCTGTAACAATCACACACATAATCAGACCGGTAACTATATGCTATACCCTGTAACAATCACACACATAATCATACTGGTAACCATGCTCTACCCTGTAACAATCACACACATAATCTCACTGGTAACCATGCTCTACCCTGTAACAATCACACACATAATCAGACCGGTAACTATGCTATACCCTGTAACAATCCCACACATAATCAGACTGGTAACCATGCTCTACCCTGTACCAATCCCACACATAATCACACTGGTAACCATGCTCTACCCTGTAACAATTACACACATCCAGTTGTGTTTTCATAACAGTAATACGGTATCATACATCAGCTTTCTATATCAGGCACAGGGCACCAGGTAAAACTCCAGTCACTCATCAAATTGTTATCTACCTAGAGAGAAGAGCACAATGGGGAGAACGATTGTTAAATCGCACAGTTGTGCGTCCTATGTGTGAACAATGTGCTGACAGTATGTGAAGGATGTTGCACGATGTGTGCACGCTATTTTTGGTGCATTGTGCGGACGCACAACTGTACATAAAGTACTAAATAACATCACATTGCAGACTTAAGGTCTACTTAATACACATGCTCCACGCACTCGTGAATATATACGTCCGCTTTCTGACTCGTTAGAAAAACACAAGTGTGTGGTCTTGCTTTTATCACATACCTTCCGTATTTGGTAGAGATCGATACGAAGATTTTATAAACTTTGATATTTTTTGCAAATACCAGGAACTTTTCAGTTTGCCATGACAAGGGGGTTCCCATAAAAAGTACTTCCGTCTAGTAGGTAAATATACCAATCTGTATTGCACATGCGCAATACAGAATGTTGTATTTCATGGTCCAAAAATTGCTTGTATTACTATAAGAAAATTTAACAGGTATGTGATAATACTTAATACTAATACAATGTGGCCACAATAACAAGAGACCTTATCCCCATCCCACAGCTGGGTGTCTCTCCCACATCTAGTACATATCTTTTCTTAATACTACCGTTTATGGGTAGTTTCCCATACAGAAGAAAATTCCACTGTTCTTTGAAACTCCCCCTATGTGCTTAAAAATTCCCCTATTTTTTTTCTTTAAAGTTCAACAGTTAAAATAAATAATACGGCATATATACATTTTCTTCGCATGATTTAAACAAAAATTCTACAACTTTATGCGTAAAATTGCTTATAAATTGAAATATACTGCACACATGTATGTCGGACAAAACATTTATCTTTTACCTTCATGACGCTAGAGCCTTGTATTAAAATTTTAGTTTCCCCCAAATATGAAAAAAGGTAAGATTCCCCTAAAACCTACAGACTGTAGATTGATCCCTGATCAAACACCCTGTTCTAACTGCCATGCACACACACACAAACACACACACACACACAAATCTACTCGGGCCTCCCCGTCCCCCGTCTCTCAAGGCTCATGCATGGCTTCCAACTCTTAAACTCGACTCACTATGAGATTCTTCCCAAAGTACTTTTAACAAACCATAACTATTCCTAAACATATACTTCCTAACTGTTCATATCTAATTAGGCACATGCAATGATTCAATCTTCATTTCCCCTATCAACACAAATGCTAACAGTTGGCTATGTAACTCCACTTGTCGGATTCTGACAATCAATATTTCGTAGTTATGTTTAACTCTGTGGCTGATCACCTTTCTCACTATTTACTCATGCAGCTGTCTACATGTAAATCAAGGCACAACTTTAACCTGACTATAAGATGGAACTTTTAAACAAATTTAAGCTCTCTATTGATACAAACTCACATTTATATATTACCTGTCGAGCTTATATAGACGGGGGTATGTTCTTTTCAAGCATTATCAGCCCATTTTGTAAGAGATATTTGCGCACCTTTTTGAATAAATTTTAAGTTTTTGGATTCTGTTTTGACATCTTCAGCATTTGTTGTTTATCTATCTAAAAAATGATAAACAATGTAGACCTTTCAGAATGAAGCAGAAAGGACCATTTATATAAACAAAATTACTATAGTCACAAACAGACAAATCTGTTGCAGAACCTAGATGCTGGACTAAGAAAATGTATACCCCATCACAAATACCCCGAACCAATTAAACAGAGGCCATTTTACGGGGGCTCTACTGTAAAGGAAAGGTGTACCTGAGATCTTTGAGAGCTTTAAACTCTGGCAGGGCTTGGCAAAGTTGGCGGGCAAAGTTTGGGTGTCCCATCAGTCCTAAGTATGCAATGTGGAGCTGCTCTAAAAAATGGCAGCCTGTCGCTATGGCAACCAGACATGATCCAGTCATGATACCTGTAAAACCATTTGAGAATGGAAAGTGTAAACAAGGACATATATAAGCTACAAAGCTAAGCCTGGTTGACAGACAGAAAGATAGTAACCAAATCCTTTACACTATAACATAAATATACAAAATATAAACATTGTTTATTTATACACAATTACGAATCAAACTTTTCCAACTTATATTTCCCTTGTTGGTCTGGATGGAAGAATGCTGAGGTCTAGTATGAGAGGAATACAGAGTACAGTGAAGCGTATTAGTCCTCTTTCCCACAGGAACTGTACATGTCAAAAGACAATGATGTCCATATATACCAGCCAGTAGCACACTACATTTCAAAGGAAGCTCACCTGGAAGGCCAGCTAGCTGGAGGTATTTAAGGTGTTTCCACTTGCCGATACAGAACAGTCGCTGGTCATTGAGAGCTGTTGATTCAGAACTATAAAATAAGAACATTATTAATTATAAATCATTCGGTTGTTGAGTGTTAACAACCGTCAGAGAGACCGAACAAAATGTGTGCTAGATGGATCAGGTAGTTTTGTGTCAAAGTCACAGATTAAATAGATTTTAACATGGGGAAAAGCAAAAAAATAAACAAAATGTTCTTACAAAATGTTTACTTTATATATAAACTAATAGCTTGATTACTTTATATATAAACTAATAGCCCGGTGACTTTATATATAAACTAATAGCCTGTTTACTTTATATATAAACTAATAGCTTGTTTACTTTATATATAAACTAATAGCCTGTTTACTTTATATATAAACTAATAGCCCAGTAACTTTATATATAAACTAATACCATGTTTACTTTATATATAAACTAATAGCAGGTTTACTTTATATATAAACTAATAGCCTGGTAACTTTATATATAAACTAATACCAGGTTTACTTTATATATAAACTAATAGCTTGTTTACTTTATATATATACTAACACCACTTTTACTTTATATATAAACTAATAGCTTGTATACTTTATATATAAACTAATAACCCGGTAACTTTATATATAAACTAATACCACTTTTACTTTATATATAAACTAATAGCTTGTATACTTTATATATTAACTAATAGCCCGGTAACTTTATATATAAACTAATACCATGTTTACTTTATATATAAACTAATAGTAGATGTATTTAACCCTTTCACCAATGCAGACCATAATCAACTCATTCAGGTAAATGCATGGTAGGGTTTACTTACCAGTAAGTTACATATGAGTGAAGGGGTTAAATATTAACTACAGACTATGTAGTGATACAGAAACTATTGAGCGCGGTAGAAGCGATACATAATAAACACCATTTGATGCCAATTACCAGTTAGTGATACACTATATTACTGATACTGACCATGGCTTGTACACACAGGACTTTGGCATGAGTCCATTTTGACCCCGATGAATCACTGGTCTAGTTAGCCCTGCATTGACCAGTTCAAATCTGACCATCCCTGGACAGCCTCTGACCAAGGATTCCAGACCTCCGGTCTCCACATCTGGGCAGAGCTTAGACTCATCACAATGACTTGAGGTAGAGGGCAATGCCTGAGGAAAGAAATGTTACCTTATTATTGTTAAGATGTTTTTAAAAAATTAAAAAGAACGTGTTAAAAGATTTAACCACATTTGACCCCTGTGCCCTTGAAAGTCTAACAAAGGTCATTTAGTTGAACATGCAACTTGCTGATCACTGCTCTAGGCCTTTTGTTTATGAAGATGAGGTCATTTTAAAGTTTAAACACTTTTGACCATATGTGACCTTAAAAGTACGCAAAGGTCATTCACATGAACAAACTTGCTTCTCTTCATCTGAGCAGGCTTAACACACTTTTTATTTCGTTTATTCTGAAGCTGTTTTTTAAACATATTAGACCCCTGTTACCTTGAATATGAGTCAAGGTCATTCTTTTGAACAACCTTGGTAGCACTTCTTCCCTGCATTATACTAGCTGATTATCAAAACCCTGGGCCTTTTGGTTATTCAGAAGACATTTCAACATATTTGATCCCTGGCCTGTACCCTTGAACATGGGTAAAGGCCATTCACTTAATGAATAAGCTGGTAGCCCTTCATCCAAGTATGGTTCTGACCAAATAACATCACCCTGGATCTTTTGGTTAATTCTAATATCATGACTGCTTTCGTCTCTTTATGCCCAACAATTGTACACATAGTTTTGGGGTGGGGATCACAACCGTTTCAAAGTTATGACCCTTGGGTTAAGTCTGCAAGGGTGGGGCAGACCCTGGGGTCAATTCTAATATCATGACTGCATTCATCTCTTTATGCCCAACAATTGTATATATAGTTTTGGGGTGGGGATCTTAACCTTTTCGAAGTCTCCAAGGGGTTAAGTCTCCAAGGCTCACTGCCAGGGCAGTCCCCAAAGCCATCCCGGAAGCATATGTGCATTCATCTCTTTATACTCAGCAATTGTATATATGGTTATAGGGTGGGGATCTCAACTGTTTCCAGTCAAATATGTTTGATATCCATCTCTTAGTTCAAGAGAAGAAGTCGCTTAAAGCAATATAGCCAAATTGCCCCCTTTTGGCCCCGCTCCTCAGCCCCCTGGGCAGACCCCCCATTTGTACAATTTTGATTCCCCACCACCTAGGGATGCTTCCAATCAGTGGTTAAGAAGAAGAAGTCGTTTAAAGAAATTGTTGACGGACGGACGGACGCCGGACGCCGTGGTATGGCATTAGCTCACCTTGGTCCTTCGGACCCGGTGAGCTAAAATGGGTTGGAATGAAAAAATACTATTTGGATACATAGCTTCAGTCGGTGGTTAACATATATCCGTAAACTTTCCTTAAAATTGGCCTTGTAGTTTAACAAGGAGATGTCTGGATTCTTCAATAAAAGGCCATAATATCACTCCATAAACAAGAGGCCCACAGGGCCTGCATCGCTCACCTGAATGTGTGTAAAATAATTGGTATGAAGTAAAGATATTGCACTCCATGGTAGGTGCTGTTAAAGTACATATGAAATTTCAGAAAGATCCATCCAGTACTTGAGATATAGCGAGAACAAACTTCAAACAGAGCTCCACCCCTATGCCCCTAGGGGGGTCATACCCACCGTTAATACAAAATTGAGACCCCTTGGACTAAGGATCCTCCAGACTAAATAAGGATAAAGTCCATTAATCCCGATGATCTAAGAAGGGTTTTAAAGGTTTTACCTCTATTTCTCCTATTAGGCCCCACCCTTCTGCCCCCTGGGAGACCACACCCACTGCTTATACAAAATTGAGTCCCCTTGGCCGAAGGATGCTCCAGACAAAACTAGGATAAAATCCCTTATACCCTATGGTAGAAGAAGGATTTTAAAGGTTTTACCTCTATTTTCCCTATTGGGCCCCGCGTCTCTGCCTCCAGGGAGGTTAGACACACCGTTTATATAAAATTGTTTCCCCTTCACCCAAAGATGCTTCATATCAAATTTGGATAAAATCCTGCCATTCGTACAGAAGAAGAAGATATTTGAAGAAATTGCTATGTTTCCCCTATTGGGCCCCTCCCTTCTGCCCCCAGGGGGGGCCACACTCCCTGTTTATAAGAAATTGAGTCCACTTTGCCCAAGGATGCTCCAGACTAAATTAGGATAAAATCCCTTAATACCTATGGTAGAAGGATTATAAAGGTTTTACTTCTATTACCCCTATTGGGCCCCACCCCTCAGGTCCCAGGGGGGCCACACGCAACGTTTATACAACATTTCTACAGAATAAGAAGGATTTCAAAGAATAATTTGCTATGTTTCCCCTATTGGGCACCGGCCCTCAGGCCCCTGGGGGGCCATACCCACGGTTTATACAAATTGGTTTCCCTTCACGCAAGGATGCTTCAGACCAAATATGGAACAAATCCTTTCATTCCTACAAAAGAAGAAGGATTTTAAAGAATATTTTGCTATGTTTCCCTTATTGGGCCCCGGCCCCGCCCCTAAGCCCCCTGACGTTTCTACGGAGCTCCATGACGTTCTACTGCATTCCTAGGGAGTTCTAGTTGGCGATTGTCTGCACTCTCACGGCGCGCGCACTGCATGTGTACGGTGCTTTCACGGCGCTCACACTGCGAGATGGCGTGTTGTTTTGCACTACCTATAAAAACAATATCTCCATCAGTTCTCCATTCTTCCATTTGCTCTCGAACAAATGAGACTATGCCCGCCAAAAGAGGTAGAAAGGTGAAGAAGGCAGGGAAAGATAAATGCCCACCGCAAACAGAAGCAATATATGTGAGTTTTGTCCTAAAACATTTCATTCCTCCAATATAATTTGCTATTCCAATGTTTAAATTTAATATTCTAATAGATTGCTACTAGAATTTAAGTAGTATTTTTGGTTCAGGTCTTCATAGGTGCTGTGCTTAATTTTATCCAAATTTAACAATTGTTTGTATCTTTACAGATGAAAGAGAAACTGTGACCTCTGTGCGTGCCCGCTGCGATCCTGTGGCGTTGTAGGAGACTGCGCTGCTACAGCAACCTCACTGCGCTCTTATCAGAACGCCGAGCGTTCTATGCGATCCCACCGCGTTCACTGGCGATATCACTGCGTTGCCGCCGCGATGCTTACGATTCCACTGCGTGCAGATCGGTGTTCTGGATTTTTCTTGGACGCCGTGGGAATGCGGCCTTAGTGTGACAGCCCTTTTACTGAGCAAGTACCATTTAATTCCTATATGCTCACTTTCGCTATCATTGTTTTCTGTACAGCATGTTTTTTATGAGTTTTTCAACACAATGATTCAACAGAAAAGAACTGGGAATAATCGATTATATCTAAAAATAAATTTTCCGACAAAAATTGATTATAGAATCTGTACTTGATTAATAAGTTAGCTGGTCCAACTAACCAATATTCAATGAACTTGATAAATTGTAAAACCACTATTTAATAACATATGAGTTTTCATTACTTATTACATTTAAAGACTTTAAGATTACTAATTTTATGTTGTGATTAGGATTTGGTGAAAATTTATGAAAAGATATCAATAAAGCTTAGTTTATATAACAGAGTTATTTCAATTAAAGAAGAATGTATGTGTAGAATAAATAGATGTATTCACACTATATAATTTATCAAATTAGTGACATTTGCTATATTTATATAAATATATGATTGTATAACCATTGTTTGTATAATTAGCAAGGTAAAATGTAATTGTAATATTTTATCGTTACATTCGGTGCAGAATATATTCGGTGTGGCACTATGTGGTGTGTATGTATCTGAACATGTATTGTGGCATTCAGTATGTGATCAGTTCAACTTTTGTGGTCAGCGACAGGTTGGACTTGTGACAAACTTGACGGTCTTTGAAGAGATTATTTGGTTGGTTGAAAGTTTGTTTAGTCAGATTCGCATGTTTCTTTTAGTTTCCAGTCTCTTTTGAAATTCATATTTGAAAGACGAACACATCCAAATATTTCAGAGTTTGTTTAAAAGTTCTATTACAGTCAGTTATAATGTCTATTTCAATTTGGTTTGATTTCTTTATTTTCACTATATTCAATATTTTCCCAGTATGTATGTCCCTGCTTGTATGATAAGTGTGAATGGTTAAATAATGAATCGTTCATCAATGACCATGCAAATGCACTAAAATAAATTATGTTATACTTATATGAAGGATCAGGTATTTGTAATCACACTACATGTGATGTATTTTTATATTGTAATAAGCTAGTCTCTGGAGTAAACATTATGCTTTTGTTTAGTTGATTATTTATGAACATGAATTAGTTTACTCTATTGCCTTTATTGTACTTAATTGTATCGTCATGTGAGACGACAGCTTTGGACATGGGTTATAATATGTGTTGTATTATTCTAAATCATATTATCGTAATTTCTAGAGAAATGTAAATTAATTGGTGTGTATTTCTATTTGTATTGTAACAAGAGGCCCATAGGGCCTGTATCGCTCACCTGAATATGTTTAAAATAATTGGTATGAAGTAAAGATATAGCACTCCATGGTACAATGTAGGTGCTGTAAGTATATATAAAATTTCAGAAAGATCTATCCAGCACTTGAGATAGAGCGAGAACAAACTTCAAACAGAGCCCCATCCCTCTGCCCCTAGGGGGTCATACCCACCGTTAATACAAAATTGAGTCCCCTTGACCCAAGGATGCTCCAGACTAAATAAGGATAAAATCCCTTAATCCCGATGGTCGGAAAAGGATTTTAAAGGTTTTACCTCTATTTCTCCTATTGTTCCCCGCCCTTCTGCCCCCTGGGAGACCACACCCACTGCTTATACAAAATTGAGTCCCCTTGACCCAAGGATGCTCCAGACTAAATCAGGATAAAATCCCTTAATCCCTATGGTAGAAGAAGGATTTTAAAGGTTTTACCTCTATTTCCCCTATTGGGCCCCACCTCTCTGCCTCAAGGGGGGTCAGACACACTGTTTATACAAAATGTGTTCTCCTTCACCCAAGAGTGCTTCATACCAAATTTTGAAAAAATCCTGTCATTCCTACAGAAGAAGAAGAATTTTAAAGAATTTGCTGTTTCCC